GGCACCACAAAAATGCTCGAGATTTGGATGGTCAGCTAACTTACACCAAATACGGCAATGCAGTTGTCGGTCCCATGTCACTCTCACGTGAGGTGGGATACATCACCCATGTTGGGGGGAACCGACACCTCCGAGTGATGATCATACTGGTACAAGAAGCGCTGAATCTTTTGATCCCAATAAGATGCTCGGGAGTCTGGTCTTTTGCAAAGCAGTATGGCACGTATCTACCCCCACTTCCACTATGATTCCTTCTCAATTCACAGGATAGGACCTCCCCCCGAACATTGAACGATACCTCCGGGCTCATCCACCCCCATGATTACACCCAACTGCAAAAAAGGGAGAAGGGGACGATAACGGGGAAGAAGGAGACAATGAGGATAAGGTAGAGGAGGTGGGAAAGGAGGAGTCCGAGGATTCCATTCTCGGTGACACTGACGGGAGCCGCGGTGGTCTTGATGATAAGAAGAAGCCGCCAAGAAAAGGGATGATGCAGAGGAGACTAACGCAAGCAAAAATGGTCTTGGTGATGAGAAGGAGCCCAGAGAGAAAAAGTTTGAAGCAAAGACTGTGGAATGGGTACCATAACGATGGAGATGCCACTGCGACAGTTTACACACCAGACTTCCAGAATATCTGTAAGTGCCTCCCTGATGAGACTCCAAAACCAGAGAGAGTAAGACGAGAGAGTTCGAAAGAGAGATAGAGAGGGCTAAAGAGAGAGAGAGAGAGAGAGAGAGAGAGAGAGAGAGAGAGAGTGAAAGAGGGATATACTAAGTGGACCTCGTGCAGCTCTAGCTCCAAACCAAAAAAAAAGAAAGAGAACTAACATGGTTTTTGTCTATTATACTACTATGAACTCTTCTACTCATTGTTAGGTCTCCCTTCACGATAAGCTTCATGGTGAACTCCATTTCATCTTCATCAGATGAGCAGGACGACAGACTTTCTACTTTGTTGCCTTCCTTAGCTCCAGTTTGTTATTGACACTTCGATAGAGACCCTGTTTGCTTTGTGGCAGGAGGAGCATCAGTTTGTTTCTGACCACCTTTACCGTCTCAGATTGTTTTGGGAATACAGGACGGTACAGCTCTTCATCACCCTCCTCATCAGAGGAGTCCAAGACAATTTCATACACTTTGTCCTCTCTCTGCATTCTCCCTCCTCTCTCATCTGATTCTGACTCATCGTCGCTGCTGTCATTGGTGCTGTCATCCCTGCACGACAGTTTCTATTACTACAAGTCGACTTTCAACTCCTCCAGGTTCCCGTCAAACCGTTTCATCATCATCACTTGATTCCATGTTAGCTTCATCGTCAAGCATCCTCTTCCCATACACATCTACTTTCAGTTCCGAGGTTGAAACAATGCAAACTGGGATGGGATCCTTGATGCGATACCTTTTCATGAAAAGCCTGCAGTGTTCCTTCTGTAGCATCTTTTCCACAGCCTTCTTTGTGAAATTGATAGTTCTCTTTGTCAGCTATCAAGTGCTTGTGCAGCTATCACGAATCTTCTGATCCCAAGCAGTGGCAAGGCATGGTTTGAGGTGACAGATGTCACAGTGGCGAGCTATGATGCCATCTTCCTCGTCTCCTTGCTCTGTCCATAGCCCGGCGGCCTGTACACTATCTTGCCCTCACTGGGCTCATACTCAGATGACTCTCTTGGGTATCCTTCTACTGTGAAGTTCAGCCTTGATTGTTTGCTGTCCACTGCTCCGCTGCTAGACTCCTTCCTCTTCCCTTGTCTGTGCTTGGCAGTCCTTGACCTTTGACCACCTACTGCAGTCCTCTTCTCACCAGTCTTCTTCCCTTGACAGGTTCCTTTCTTGTCACTGGTCTTCTTGCTTCTCTTCTTCTTACTATTAGCACCCGATCCACTATCAAAAACATGGCCATCTTCTCCATAAAGAGGATTCGACTCGCTGACAGGTTTCCGGAGGTGAAATTGAGCGTGGTCTTTTAGGTTTCTGGTGGCCCACCTATACCTGGAGCCCTTAACTTGTTGAGCTTGAACTCAAAGCAAAGGTTGCAGGTATCTTCTTTAGACACAGAGGGCACCCACTATACAAGATCCTGGTAGCATTGGCATACGTTCTGCATCTGCACACTCATTATCCAACCAAGAACCAGGGAGTGGCATATTATCCTTGTTTTTGTTTTCGTTTGTCGGAACAGGATTTTTGTGAGACTGACACATTTTTCAAAAATCTCTCCCCCCCTTCCCCACTCACACTTTTTCAAAAAATAGTTCATGCAACGAGATTGCTTGAATTCATGCCAACGAACCCAAACCTTCATATATAGAAACAGAATGACCCCCAACCAGCCCCCAGCCCCAGTACTGCAACGACATATTGATATCATACCAGCAGGAAGTATGTACTAGAGAGCAAAGACGGATGCTACTATGCATGCAGTTACGACTACATCCACAGTCCAAAAATATGAGACATAAAATTGATTTCTCCATTATGGTAAGGACTAAACAAACTGCAAGCAAAGTAGTCGACGGACAACATCCCAGATTCCGGAAAGCGCGTAGCAAGGCGGGCCGCCAGGAGGTCCCTCCTCCATTGAAGGTGTGTGTCAAAAGCGACAGCGCTATCGCCAGGAACTGTGGCTCTACAGAAATTCGAAGGTACCAAAAGTCAACCGATCTCCTAATCAGGAGACTGCCTTTCAGCGTCTTGTCCGGACATAGCTTCTGATATTAGAAAAGACATCAGGTCCAAGGGTCTGCAATGGAAGCTCTCCAGCAAGCATCAGAAGCCCATCTTGTGACATCTTCCAATGTTCCAACTTTGTGCTATCCATGCCAAAAGAATCACCATCATGCAAAAGATATCGGCTAGCCAGGAGGATTCGAGTGGAAGGTTTTAGGTACTATTCTAGACCTGAAAAATTAACGTATAAGATAACATGTGTTCTTCTTTGTTGCCTTCTTTCGTGCATACCATATGTCTTTGGTCAGTGCAGCCTTGACTGTTTTTTGGTTTGCATGAGGCGTAATTGTTTTCTTTTCGGTACTTTGTGAATGTGACAATCCTCTTCTAGGACGGTTAACCTGTGGTTATAAATATATAAGGTATACATATATAGATAGTAGTATACCTTGTTCTGTGCAAGGATCGAATACATGCGCCTGCCTCCTGTCATGCCAACTCGGGTCACATAATTCTGCGGCTGTTCGAACTCTTACTTAGCCAAAACTCTGGGATTCACTCTGCCCCTTCTGTAGAGTGAAACTACAGAGCAAATTCATTGTTTGGCAGAGTTTTTCGTTTCCAGTGTTGGCACTGTTTGCATCTGCAGGAACGGTGCGAAGTTTGTAGGTGGTTGCACGAGAATCGTCGATCTCAACTTCTTCGTCATTGTCGACGAGAGGAAGAATGGGTTTGCCACGCAACTGTTTTCTCGAAGTTGGTGAACGCATGCTTTCCTTGACAATCTTCATGGTGAAGGAATAGGTTGAGGGTAGTGAAAGCTATTGTGTTTGTTAACAAAATGCACTACGCTAAAAGCTAGTGTAAAGATCTTCGAGTGTTTTGAGTTTGAGAGAATGAAAGTATGAAGAAGATTAGAAAGCTACGAAAACTAATCCATAAGAGAGATCGTTGTGAAGCTATTGAAGTTGGTCTCCCGCGGAGGCCTCGAAGTGTGATTTCGTAGGTTATGGCAATAACTCTACGTACTCCACGGTCCATTTCCGGAACACGTGGAACTTCAGCTAGTAGCTGTCTAGTAGCGTGGAAGCTTTCCCGCGGCTAAATATCTAGAGCGATGTTTCATCGACAACCTAGTATGACTAGCAGTCATGAGAACCCTGTCTCAATGACTATTCGCGAAGGACTACGTCATGAGTCGAACTCAAACCCTATCTAGGATCGAGTCGCGAATAAGGCTAAGAGCTGTGTATTGCATTTGTGAAGTATGGCAGTGGTGGCAGCAAGGCTGGCAGCAAAAAGAAACCACCAAGGCCATCCAATTCCTACTTCCGTGACACCTCAACGATGTACAGGTGCGACGCCACTGTCCGTTCTCACAAAACTACCACCGACATGTCAATGTCCGGCAAGTTTATTGCCCAAGATGGTGAAGTGCAAAACAATTTGGTTGGAGTTGTCCGCCCTTGCAATAGCTTCATGGTGGAGAAACCAATCGGAGGAGCCCTGGCATTCAGCCAACTTGACGCCTGGACCGACAGCTCCCTCAATCATCGGGCAAGCGCTCATGTATTGGTGACCAATGGCCTTGTCATGGAGCACGACACTTTGCAGTGCCGGGTGAGCAGCACCAAACCTGATATGCTTGTTATCTCATTCACCATGAGCCCTTCCTTCTCCCTTCCAGAAGCGAAGCTCTCGTACCTGCTCCCAAAGATTCAAGAGGCTTATGGTGAGGGGGTTGCTGCCGACCAGGAGGCCTGTTTGCGAATCTTGAAATCCTCGCCTCGTTACATCTCGTGCTTGCAGAATCTGGCGAGTCTTCGTGGCCAAACCGCTGAAGGTGATCCCCTTACCGTCGAGTTTCGTATGACAGCTCCCTTCCACATTCACGATGATCTTGTGACACAGAAGGAAGACCCCATCTTCTATGGGTTCGAAGTTTCACATGACAATGGTGAAACCAACGTTTACTTTGAGCTGAAAGAGAAAGAAAAGGAGTTCAAGCCTGTTATGATCAATGGATTGCACCCATCGTCTTCCAACCAAGCTGCTGGCAGGGCGAGGAAGGGCATGTTTCAGAGTTTTGGGATGTCATCCATTCCTGAAAGTGTGAGCTTTGTGTCGCCCTCAAAGGCTCACCGTAGTAGGCAGAGTGGTAGCCACGGACATGAAGACGACAGCTCCACCACCCAGACTGAAGACCAGCATGGTTCTGGTCGAATGGATGTTGACACCGCATACAATGCCGACGACGATGATTCGTGGGATTCGCAGCTTGGTGAAGACAGCACGACAGGACCTGGTGAATCGGAAGAGATCACAAAGTTGCGACGGGAGCTTGAGGCTATGCAGTCGATCCTCTCAGGTATTACTCAAGCCAAGTCGTTTGGCAGTGATGATGGTAGCAAGTCAGCAAAGCATGCCGGCAATCTCAAGAAGATGAAGACCAATGATGGTTATGCTTCAAGCAACTCCATTGCTGGTGACAGCAAGGCTTCTCGTCGCAGCACTGTGACTCGAGGAACCAAAGCCCGAGATGACAAACGTAAGAAAGCTGCCTCTGATGCTAGTGATGACACCATTAGAAAGAAGGCTGACTAGTGGTTTTTCTCGGCCTGCTTTTGGTTGTTGTGGCAATGGTTGGACAAGGCTGTCAATGCTCTGCAAGAGGTTGCTAGTGATGAGGAAACTGTCAAGTTAGATAACAAACAAACAAACTAGTAGTGGTTGTGGACTTGAACTTTATTGCCAGATTACTAGTTTTCATGTACGTCCAAGAAGCACACCGCTTGCTCTGGCTGGAACCATCAAAACCGCACCGGACACAGTAACTGTTGGCAGGCCAGAAGCGCATAACATGTAACGGTATGCCATGCAGAATGGGAACGATTTCGGAATTCGAAGGATCAGTGGTTAATGGATATTTTGAGCCGGTCAGCATGTTGATCCAGGCAGGTGCCTAGTGAAGAATTGTTAGTAAAGGAATGTTATTAACAATTATGAGCATGCTAAAAGTGGCAACTGTGCCATACTGGAGCACACAGGCCCAGCTGGGGAGTGCCAACTCTTAACAGCTGGTAACGGTTTTGGCTACCCAGCTTGTGGGATTGCAAGCTGGGTGACTAACTAGTGGGCATGCTTGCACATTAATAGTGGATGGGATCTGGTACATGACTCAAAGACTTAAGGGTCATGGTCCCAGATCAACACAGCAGCCTCACTCCACACCCAAGTGCAACACACCTCCATGGCTGGCCGCTTTAGAGATAAAGTTACCGCGAAGCACCTCTGTCATCTCGCCCATAGGGCTACATGTGTACCCACCTTCTAGCTAGAGATAGCGCTGCTTTTGACCAAATCTAATCATGCAATAGTCACTGCCTTGTTGCGAGTTTCGTTTAGATTTGTTTCTGGATGCTGTACGGGTACCAGTACCAGATCTATCAGCATCCAAACGAGCGGTAGTGGGTACTCTCATCTCTCCTCAGTCTTCCTTTCTCGACGTTCTTGTAAAAAGGCAGGATGGCGGGATTACATCCTTGTCCCACAAAGCGCATAGCTACTTCACACTGGTCATTGGTTTTTCGTATCAAAGCCTTTTCAGATTCCACCCAGAATCTGACAGCTACCCATGCCGCGACGATTTCGGCACTGGACGGCTCAGAGACGGTGGTACCGGTACCTACGTGTATTGCATTGCATTGCCACGGCAGTAGCTACTAGCTAGCTAGTACAAAAATCTTGTCCCAGCGTGCTGTTACTGTGGAATCAAGCTTGTTGGTGATTCCTCTTCTGTTTCTACTAGCTAGCTAACAAAATACACCGTACCTACTACTAGAGTAGCTAGCTAGAACCTGGTAGTACCTGGTACCACAGGGGGTAGACAGCACTACATGCAGCCTGTTTATCTGCATAGGGAGGAAGCCCACTGAGAGAGAGCATGGCCAGCCATCTTTTTGGCTTGAATTCAAAAACGTCTCCTACCTCTACAATTACACAGGCGTACAAATCCTGTTCAATTGCACAGGAGACGGGTGCCTGTTCAATAGTACAGGCTCCTGTCCAAGCATGTAGCATTTGATAGTTCAATTTTTTCTCTAAGTCCAAAGTCAAGTTAACAGGAGCCTGTTCAATAGTACAGGCTCCTGTCCAAGCATATAGCATTTGATAGTTCTTAGTCCAAACCATTAGGAAAATAGATCATTCAATACTTGCATGTCGAGTGATACACACATGAAGACCAACTATACTCTAGGATTCTTATCATGCTCCACTACAGAAATCAGCAATCGGAGAATCAAGTCAGGATCAGCATGTACAGAAGCACATGATGTTGCCTGTTCGATAGCACATGAAGGTTCCTGTTTGTTGGTACAGAATCCTGTTCATTTGCACAGGAGACGGGTGCCTGTTCAATAGTACACGAAATGGGTCACTGGGAGGAAAAGAATGACAAACACCAAAGTCGCAAGCAGCCACAAATAAATGCAAGAGACCGATGGATATGGCAGTAGTTGTTCTTGCTTGCTGCTGTTGCTGTTGCTGTTGCTGTTGCTGTTGCTAATAATGAATTTGCACGTCTTCCTCTATGAGTACAAGGTCTAGCTACGGTGCCAACCTTTAGCAGGGGGTGTTCCCTGTACTTTACTGTGCTTTAGCACTCCTTCTTTGGTCCTGAGCACATCTATCGAAGCAACTCTATTGAAGCTCCTCTGTGGACGAGCATTGCCTATACTGGCTGGCATCCTCACTCTACATGCAACTTTTGAATGATAGTACATTTACCTAATGGTGTAACTTGACTTTGGACTTAGAGAAAAAAATTGAAGTATCAAATCCTGTATGCTTGGACAGGAGCCTGTGCATATGAACAGGCTGGGCTGTCTATTTCCTGTGCAATTGAACAGGCTAGGCTGTCTATTTCCTGTGCAATTGAACAGGTGACGAAATTCCTGTGCAATTGAACAGGACATTGACCGTCAATGTCCTGTTCAATTGCACAGGTGCCTGTTCAATTGCACAGGAATGGTGTCACCTGCCATGCCTGGATTTAGCTGCAGGCTTGCTCTCTGAAAATCCTGTGCAGATAAACAGGCTGTATGTAGTGCTGTCTATCAGGTACCGGTCTTGGTAGTGGTTTGTAGTGCGCGACTGGCCGCGAAGAAGTCCGGTCACCAACGCCTGGTTCTCTTGGCTCGCGGTCGTTCATCGTCGTTCATTTGGTGGCCTCTCTTGCGATCTTTGGTGGTTCCTTGCCTTCGGGGATGAGCAAAATTGCCCATAGCCCTGCATTGTAATTGATAGCTTTTTTTGTAAAAGTGTATGTGAAAAAGCGAATATTTGTTTTGGGCTGCAATTTTTCTATTGGATTAGATCGGATTGGATTGAATTGAATTGGATTGCATTGAATTCCAGTTTACTATACAAATATCAGTACAATTTAGAATCAAATTCAATCCAATTCAATCTAATCCAATGCAATCTAATCCAATTGAATCTTGCTTCCAGCCAAAATGTTCATTTTATCCTTTTTCTGACATTCTGAGTCACTCCTGTTGAGTACACTACAACCCAATAGCAAGATTTGCCCATCCCCTTCCTAAAGGCGCTTCGTTGCGGTCCAAGTAGCCAATAGCTATTTCGTAGCCTTGTATAGGTCTCTCACTTAGCTAGCTAGGCTACCAGGTACTTTGTCTGTTTTGTATGTGTGATTGATCTGGCACTTTGGTTAGGTTCGTGGTGCGCTAGATTTCTTGTGGTTGGTCTGCAGGTTCCACTGGAGAGACAATGATTGTGCCCAGCATAGTTCACTCAGCACTGGGTGAACAGAGGAGTAGCGATCTACTCGTGTACTAACTCCCAGCTTCGAAAGCTGTGGCCAGAACGCAACTGGTACTACTGTACAGTAGACGAAGGTGGTCATTCAACCAACTGAACGAGTGGCGGAAACGCCTATTTTTTTGAAGAGTAAGCTGCAGCGTTCGTGGTGCTCTGGGCGTGGGAGTCTTAGTTATGTGTCATCTACTATGCTGTTTGGTGCTACAATAAACGTGCTTGTAAGATTTGAAGCTGTGTCCTTGGGGTTCTTGTAATGCGACTTCTCGATTTCTTCCCTTGGTGTAGTTGGCTGCCCATCATAATCGATAAAGAGCGCAAAAGGCTAGTTAGACGGTAATAGCCGTCAAAGTGACTAAACCCTCGGCATCCATGAGGAGCTTGGCAGCACTTTCGCAAGACAGACCTTCAACGGGCTTGTTGTTGATGCTGTAGATCCACATACCGGGTTTCAAGGACGTGTTGGTTGCAGCCATGCTGTCGGCAGCAATGCTAGAAATGATAATCTTGGTTCCGTTCTTCCGCATACCAACACCAGTCTTTGTAGCGGCACTCTCCTTGACAAGGGCTCCGGTAACGATTGTGGACTTTTCGGGTGCCGTGCCGGGTGCGGCAGCTGTGATTGTCACGAGGCCTTCAGCGCCATTCAACATGTTGGTGACTTGGGATGTGCTGAAATTTCCCACGGGGATGTTCTTGATGGTGTTGATCTCCAAACCAACTCGAAGGGGGGTGTTCTTGGCCGCCAAACTGTTTTCCTCAATGTCACTAATGACGATACGACCATTGCGTCGTTGAACGCTCAAACCTGTCGGGGTGTCTGCAGTCTCCTTGAAGAAACTTCCCGTCACTACCTTGAATCTGGGCGACAGCCCACGAACGGGGGATTTCGACCTCGTCGTTAATCTTAGACCTGGTAGCATGTTTTGGCTCTCAAGGTTTACCACGGAAAGAAAGATTGCTATCTAGGGGTAGCTAACTATTGGGCTAGTAGCTAGGTACTTCAGGAATGATCAAAACCCAAATAGATTATGACGGTGGGGTGGAAAGGAAAGACAGCTTCAAACCGACGAATTTTGTGAGGTCAACTCCTGTAAGATGGCAGGTCCAGGTTGCTGAGCCGAGATTTACCATCAATTTGTGCATGAACAGCTCGTTGGCGAAACAAAAAAATGTAGTCGCGCTACCCACGAAACCATCTCCTTCTCTTCAACGTACTCACTATGCATGTCGAGCTCAGCATAGCTCTGATTTCCAACTCAAGCCGTGCTTGGATGTTGGATGATGCTGTGCGGCGTCGCCCCAAACATGATTGTCAACTCTCATTTATGGGATCACAACCTTCGCCAAAGTTTTGCGCGACAAGAGAACACAAAGAACAAGGCTCACCTCTCTCCTTGGGAGTCAAGAACGGTACAGGTACCAGTACTGGCGAGCTCGGTGTACCTTGTCATCCAAAAAAAGAAATGTGATAGTCCAGATAGAGGGCTCGAGCGAGGGGGGGGTGCTGTCCTTTGTTGTTGTGGGATTGCAATTTTTGGTGACGAGCCGACCATTCGAATTTGTTTTACAAATAGTAGCAGTACCGCCGACCCCACCCCAAGAACCCAAAGCGAATTATCGTCTATCTTGGGTCCTCACGTACCGCGGTACTCTGGTACCGTCCCTTGTAGTGGCGGGCAGTCCGATTGCAGGCGGGCGGGCAGGAAAGCAGTTGGTGCATTGTTGAGTTTTATGGTCTTCCTTTCCCATCATATGCTTGCTTTTTCAGCTAGTACTGGTAGTACATCGTTAACATTGCTGAACCATTGGGATGAAAATTACCTCCTGAAAAACGGCTGCAACTCGGTGATCGCTCCCTCGTTGAACGGATACGGTACGGTTCGGCCGCAAATGCATCATTGCGTACCGGTAGTACTGGTAACGTAGCCTGCGGGATTAGCCATGGAACTGAAAAGTGCACGAAGCAATCAAGCAGGCAAGCAAGCAGCATACAATTTATTAAGTTTGCTCAATAGAGAATTCTAGCTAGAGCCGTACACTAGATTTAGTCTGATCGCTCGTGCGACCATTGTTGGACTCAACTCAACAGTGGAAGGTTGAAGGAGCGAACTTCCAGAATGAATCGAATCGAATCAAATCGAATCCTTCCAGCCTGCCGATCACGTTTCCATGAGCGGTCATGGTTTAAAATCCGACTGAGCTGCCAGACTATGGATCGGTCCTGCTGAGTTGGTCTATACCGGCGCGACCCCCCTCTGGTGTCTGGGGAAAGGCAATGGCTCTGATTGAGGAACTCAGAGAAACCCGCCGTGTCCAAGCAGACCTACTTTCATCCAGTTTACTGGCAGTTCGAAGAGAAATTGGTTCGGCAACGACTAGCTAGTAGGGTTGATTCGATTCAGAAAAAGTGAATGCCCCTGTTCACCTCCAAGGATCCTTTTTTCTTGGAATGGTTGCCACCTATGCTAGCTAGGTTGCCACATAGTCAATTGCAGCACTACCTTATTCCGTCTGTCTCCTTGGCTGCTGTAAGCTCGTAGTCTCATCCCTCTAGCTGGGCTGGCCTGCCGATACCGGTAGTACCGGTACCGTACTAGTACGGTACATGTCAATCTGTTCCTGCCGGCATCTACCGTACTCTACGGTACTAGCTGTAGTCCGAAAATCATTTCCGAAAATCAACGCGAACCGCTCGCATGCATGCCGCATGCAACGAAAGACAGCAACCATGGCAAGGGGCAGCCCAAGAGTATCGATAGGCAGCTCTGTTGACGCCTGTATGCTCATATCGATGTCATCAGCCGATCTCTGTCAAACTAAGAATCTGCAGAAACTAAGGAGTCGGCTCTGCGACCGCCTACTAGGCTTGACTGTGGATTCTACATTACTAGCTAGCTAGTGTGTTTGAATAGACTTTCACGACAGTACGTTTGTTTTGCAAGATCTTGATCAAGTCTGGAAGACCACAGAAGATCCCACCCTATCTGTACGCCTACCCGCTTGGAAACAGTCAGCCAGCCGTGACTGCTAGAACGTAGTTGGAGTACAGCGTAACCATAACCTACTAGCCAGTGAGCACCCGAGTCCCGTACCGTACCAATGGCTTCATCACGGAATCGAAATTGGGGGACCACTTTTCTCTATCAGGAGATGAACAAATCCAGTAAAAGAGGGGTTGCAGGCATACCTTAGAGTATAACGGAGGCCTGCATAGCCTCATTTCTTGAGTTTTGGTCACTTCCTCGACTGTAAAGTGGTCCCCCCCTTTGGCGATGAGGTGATCTGCGTCTTTTTCACCGGATTTGGAAAATGTGAGGCTGAAAATGTGAGGTTAGTTTTAAACTAGATGGCCGACTCTCCAGTCACAGAAAGTCTTTCGAGTTCTCTATTTAGTCATTGCATCCAAAGAAAATCGCATCCCACCAAGGGCATCCCTTTTCAGACCATGTGTGCACGTTCAACACCATGTTGATGACATCCGGTGGTTCCGCGAAACCAATCAGCGACCATGTTGAATGTCAACCTCTCCTCACACAACACGTAAGATTGATATTTGCCATTCCGAGTGGACCATGGGCATCTGTTTTCGCGGCATGTGGGTTGTCATTGAATTGTCTCTTTGTCAGATGGGATCCAAATTTGGGACCATGGGCATTGCTTGAGTGAGCTCAAACTCGCATCGGATTCAACGGCAAACGGCAGGAAGATCCCATCCGAATCGATCAGTCGGAGGCGTCTTCAGTTGGCATCTCATTATTTTGACTATCGACACTTGAAAAAGCAACATCGAAGCTCTGTCGAAATGGTGGCTCTTCATTATCTTTCTTCCGGTGGATCAATCCACCATGGGGATCGGCCGTTCGGCCTTCATTGGGATTCTTCTTGTGCTTGCTACTGTTTGCGCGTCATCGTCGCAGTTATCTTACAAGGCGTCCCAGCTGGATCCACGCTCTCTTCTTCAAACCAACTTAACCATAGGTACGGTATCTCTAATACCGCATTGAAGAGCAAACCAAATCCTGGTTGCCAAATACAGTACAGCGACAACCTAGCTAGCTAGTGAACACGTACCTTTGTTTTGCAAGATTTTGATCAGTCCCGGAAGACGCCAGCCAGAAGTTCAACGGCAAACGCCAGTCCAAAAAACTCAACTGACGTTGCACAGCATCAAGGCATTTATCGCTGTTGCAGCGTGTTGCAGCGTGTTGCAGCGTGTTGCAAGGGTACAGTTTTACTATACAAACGCCACCCCGATTTTTCATCCAAGCTCAACGGACGTTCATCGCTGTTGCAGCGTGTTGCAGCGTGTTGCAAGGGTACAGTTTTACTATACAAACGCCACCCCGATTTTTCATCCAAGCTCAACGGACGTTCACATTGGTTGCAACGTGTTGCAAATGTACAGTTTTTGTATAGTAAATGTAACAAAGGTACATTTCCTTCCACAGTGGTTGGACAGGCGTCAAAAGACGACTCGCGACTGTGAGGCTGTGAGGCTACAGGGATGCTGCACCAACCACTACCAGGTATGGAGTTGAGGGCATGATCGATAAGGCTCACCTCTGACACACACAATTCGACTCGACTCCGGAGCCGGCACAGAGGATTAACCAACAAACTCTCAAGCTATCCCAACATCCATCATGGGATTCTTTCTCACTCTCGGGCGGCTGGTTGGTTCGAAGGTGCACGAGAATCAAACTCCCATCGACGCCGAGCGGACAAAAAGAGTGGGCGAGTTTTTTGATACACGTGGGCCATCATCCAGCCGCTACCGAATTCGACGCAAGATCCTGACTCTGGAGAAGAGGCGCAAGACCGTGAAGGAGCGCAAGGAGCGCTTCAAGCTCACTGTGAAGGCCAAGAAAGTTAAGTACGCCCAAGCCAAGAACAAAACGACGTCCAACCAGCAAGTCCTAGAAGACTTGGAAGCCAAGGTTGCTGCAGCAAAGTCCGCGGTTGATGCTGCCAAGCGCAAGGAAGATGAGGCTGGTGATGACGTTGACCACGATGTGGCGGTCTTGGTTGATCTAGAAGCGCAGGAGAAGAAGATCTTCGAAGAATTAGTGGAGGCCGAGAACGACATGAAAATTCTCGATGAAATCGAAGTGTGTCACCAGAATCCACAAGGCAAGGCCAAGCTCCCTCTTGCGGGCGAACGGTCTCTCGAAGAATTGCGCGGAGCTGTGTGGGAATATGTTCCCAGCTTCGAGTCTTTGTGCAGTGAAATTGATTGCCCCATCGACACTCTAAAGAAGGTTCTGAACTTTCTGTCCTTGAATGGTGTGGGCGGCGCACTCATCACTCCGCGGACTAGTGACAATGTTGTCCTCCTCCGCAGGCAACTGGCCGAAATCTTGTTCCCCGAATTTCGCCCCCCTCGCGAACCCAGTCTTTCACCCGAGTCCAAGTTGAAGGCCATGGCTGCGGAATTGTACGATGATGCTGATGCAATTGATAAGAGTATTGAGGGTGATCGCCAAGCCAAGCGCAAGATTAGGGTCGCCACCAGTGCCCCACCCCGCAAGAAGCCGAAGTTTTCATCAGAGGTCTTGGAAGAACTTGAGGCAAGGTTGTCCCCCGAAACCTTAGCCGCCTTGGGGTTGGCCACTGGAAAGGACGCTGAAGACAAACCATTCTTTGCTTCTGCTGAAGACAAACCGTCCTCTGCGTCCGCTGAAGATGGACCGTCCTCTGCTTCCGCTGCCCAGGAAGAGGAAACGGAAGCGTGTGAGACCTAGCAACCATCATGTACCCACCAAGACACCGAGCGATCGCGAGCAGTGGGCTCGCCGCTGCTGACTTTGTGATTTGTGTTCATATTTTCTTCTTTCTCTTAGGTTTTCTTTCTGTCTCTCTGTGGTTGAGAGCTATTCCCCTTCTCCAGGACTACTGGTAGTCTGGTGTGGAATTATCCATATGGGATTTTGGATTATTCACTGCAACTGTGGATGCAATTTTGGGCATCCACCTTCATGTTATTCAGGTTTTCTTTCTGAATGCTCTCTGTGGTTGAGAGCTATTCCCCTTCTCCAGGACTAGCCTGGTGTGGAATTATCCATATGGGATTTTGGATTATTCACTGCAACTGTGGATGCAATTTGGGGCATCCTCCTCCATGTTATTTAGGTTTTCTTTCTGAATGCTCTGTCAACGACTAGCTAGCTAGTGAAGACGTGTACTACATACTGGTAGCTGTAGGTCCGAAAATCATTTCCGAAAATCAACGCGAACTGCATGCAACGAAAGACAGCCGAAGAGCAGAGGCAGCCATAGAGGTACCATAAAGGAACCATGAGTGTGAGACGTAATAGCCGCCGCTCTGTACGAGACACGAACAAGATTGAGTTGTCTCCGAATCGCATGGGTACCTTGCAGTGTCGTCGATTGCAGGAGCTCTTCTTGGAGGAAGACGACGACGACGACGACTCTGCTACAGACAGCAATCGAGTACGACAAGTGGAGAAATTCCGCTTGGAACGTGTCTTTTGCGCTCCCCAGATATACGTGGTGGACAATTTCTTGAGTGCGTCGGAACTGGAGTACTTTTACAGTTACATTGAGCGAATGCAGGAGAGTTTTGAACGCAGTTTTGTGGATGCTTCTTCGACCAGCGACACTGTGTTGGATGATTCTCATCGCACGTCGACCTTTGTGGGAATTCCCAAACAAGAAAACAAAACGATCAGTACCATTGAAAGTCGTGCCGCCAATCTCTTGGGTTGCTACAGCACGGAAACTGTGGAGCCACTCCAGTTGGTTCGCTATAAAGTGGGAGAGTTCTTTGGGGTGCATCACGACACGGGAGACTACAATGAAGAGACTGGACAAGTGGCACTGCCGCCTAAGACTGTATTGGCCAAACGACGGATTGTCACCATTTTCTGCTATCTCAATACACTGCCAGAAAAGGCAGGTGGGGCCACCATGTTTCCACAATGTGGTGACCTGCGAGTCCAACCCAAGGCGGGAAGGGCGGTTCTATTTCCAAATATTACAGCGGAAGGATTGCCAGATCCACGGACTGTTCATGCTGGGGAAGCCGTCAAGAAGATGCCCAAGAAACCCAATAAATCAAGTGGCAAAGCAGAAGAAAGCAAGAAAAAGAAACGCAAAACAACCAACAGTCGTTTCTTTTCCAAACGAAACCCTGTCAAGTACGGCCTCAACATTTGGTTGACCGAATCATAGTCCATGAACCAGGCCCATTGGAAGAGATGCGAGGTCCCGTGGATGTTGCTTATTTTTCAGTGGACAAACACGGTTCCCTGGCTCAGCCACGAATAATTGGTATCAAATTGAATGGAGCCATGGCTGCAAGCCCGATTTGCCATGTTGTCTTCGTGACACCCGAGCAAACTCTATTGATCGATCAATCGATTGATCCACGAAAACAGCAAACAAGGATCTTTCGATATCCCCTTGCAAACGTCGCTCGTAGCTTGGAAACATCAAATCCGTACTTCTCGTTTCTTTCTATGGAAAATGTGGGACGCCCAACGCAAACATAACAACAAGGGCTTCACTTGCCACAGCATGGAGTAGATGCAACGTCTCGTGGCTCCAGTACAGCCAACACCACTCAACTCTATAACTACAAGAGCAACAACCGATCTCGTGTCGTTGACCGCCCTGCAGAGTTGAAGGATTTCCTTGGCACTGGCGATGAAGCCGCATGTTTTTGGTGAAGGAGGCCTATTGGTAGGAAGAGGACAAAACGAACAACGGAATGAATGTATTCTTGGCTGTCGGGCCTTGCACATGGCACTCTTCATCTGGAGTCAATTCCCTCCCATAGTCCCCTCTAACCACCTATATACCCTATAGTAACCCCGCCTTCGACTTGTTCTACCGGTGCGGTACCGGTACCGTAAAGCATCCTTCGATTCGTCATAATATTAGCTCGCCTCCAAGGCAAGCAATTTCAATGATGTGTTTTGCAATCGCTTCTCTAGCTGGTAGGCCTGGTAATTCTAGGTTCTTTGTCTAACTAAGCCTGGCCCCAACCGGCTTCTGATGCAAACTTCCCTTCTCTAAAACACCCGTTCTTTCAGAGACGAGGAACCCATCGCTGCAGAGCTTCGTCGCTGTCGATGTGGGACTTGACACGGCTCACCTTCGTTTGAAAAGCAAGACGACATGTATTGTATGGCACGATAAACAATATCCATTTGACGCGAAATTGGAACCAGTAATCCTCTAGAAAGTGTTAAACCAATACTCGGTCCTCGGCCAGTCGCCCGGTGCGGGCAGTTTTCGGGAGGCGTCGAAGCCAAAAAGAACTCGACACAGCGCACAAATTCGACCAGCAGCACTCCACAAGTCAAGTCGGAGCATCGGAAGAGAGAGGACCAGCACCAACAACCCAAGCCATCCAACGAAAGGAAGGAAGGAAGCAACAGCAACAAGCCACCCAACGAAAGGAAGGAAGCAACTGCAACAGCGACAGTCCGATCATTGGAAGAGAGAACGTCCACACGCGAGCACACAAACAACGAAAGAGACGCATCACATCACGACAGAACCAACGGTGCAACATTTTGAAAGGCAACAAAACGAAGACAGTCTATAACATTGGAGAAGGGAAAGAGACGCAAACGATGACAACAGTAGTAGTAAGCAGACCAACAGACGCACCACGCGAAGACATGTTTCCAGGTCCCATATCCGCAGAAACTGTTGATGGTAAGACTTGCCACTCGACTCTTGCTCCAGGTGCTGTCCTCCCAACTTTTCCAACCCTGCTCACACTCGCCAATGATTTGTTCGTCTCTCATCCTCCCAAGAGTACTGGGCCCAAGCGAAGCTTGCCTCCGAACAGCCATGGGAAGATTTGATGCGCCTTCGAGCACAATCCCTTGCCATGACTGATGAAGAAGAAGAAGAGCCTCGAGCTTGTATTCGAGCACATTCTGAGACCCTTCGTGCTGGGAATCGAATGCTGGCAAGCATTCTGCATGTTCCAGACTGTCTTCGGGACGCCTCGGAATGGATGCTTCGACACTTGGGTGTCGACTTGTCTAAGCGTCAACTGACAGCAGGAGAATATCTCTTGCAGGCTCTTGCCGAAAAGAAAACTGCCTTATCGCTTGACTTGATGGTGGGAAAGAGCGTGAGGCTCCATGGAGTTCTTCCAAGACTGACTCAGACCATGCATGCAAAAAATCCACCCAAAAAATTGAGCTGAGAGCTGAAGGAAGCAAGAAAAAAGCACAGCACTGAAGCAACAAGGTGGATGGCACCGCAACACCACGAGCGTAAGGAAGCAGTACGGTACCAGTAGCTAATCAATGCAATACACAAAAAGGAGCAATAATCATTTACTATTATGCAGGTGGCGGTGGTGGTGGGGGTGGTGGTGGCAAAGCTGCGGCAGGTACAGCAGTATTATTGCCAGGCGGTGCCTGGCCGTAAGCCGCCAAAGGCTCAGCTGCTTCCTGTAGCAATGCTAGGATCTCAGCTCTGGGGATCTTTTTGCTGTTGCCCCAAGCAAAGAGAATAAAATGATCATCATGATTAGAAAGAGAGACCAAGCCATCTTTTGTGCGTTCAACCAAACAAAGACTGGTATTGTGCTCAAAGACGCCACCATAGAAATGATGGCCAAGCCCATGCTGGATTGGCATCGCGACTCCCAAGCCATGCATGGTAAAATGTTGATGTATCTTCAGATGCTGAGATGCTCCTGTGTTTCGAAACACGAATTGCCAGGCACATGTGGTGGGAAGCCCTGGAAATTGCCTCAACTTGACCTGGGAATCCACTGCATTTTTGTGTAGCTCCTTCTGCTGAGCATCTGTGAGTTGATCCTTGGTATCAATATGACCAGTGTTGGCAAAGCCATAAACCAGCTGTCGAGGTGAGTAGGGCACACGTGTTTCCCAGGACTGTGGATTGTTGTGGATTTTTTGTCTCTTTTGAGGTGGCTGACCTTCCCTGGCTTGACCAGTTTTACAATCCCGAAACCCACATGTGGCAATGTTGAGACCTGAAAGATGCTTTGTGAGATTCATACCCTCAGGATTCATTTTGTGAGCAAATTGCAAGGCCGCGGTTTCAAGCGCATGACACATGCGAATGAGCTGAGGCCTCATTCCATGCCCAGCAAATTCAGCCCGATGCATTTGCAGGTCACCCTTGTCTTCAACTGCCTCCAGTGGGGTGGCAACGTATGCTGTGCTGAATCTCTTGTTGTTATAGGCATTCATGCCAAAATGCCCAACACTTGGTCGTGGTATGCCACGATGCATACAATCAACCATAATTGAAGCACCTGGGTAAGTGATCTGCTCACAAGTCAACCGTTTGTCGAAACCCCAACAACTCATAAGTCTACCGACACATTTCCGATGTGACAGGTCCCTGGGTTCCGATCCCAACAGGAATAACTTAGTGCCATGATGAAACGAAGCACCTTTTAAACCTGCAAACTCAGCACGTGTCACAGATTTGATACGGAACCCACTAGTAGCACCAATTTCAGCCAGATTGGGAACAAGGTATGTGTCGATGTGCTTTGAATTCCGTACGACCCAATGCACTACCTTTTTCCAACAGTGCCATTCACCCTTCCAGACTTTCAAAAGCTTATCAGCGACCTTTTTTGTGATCCATGCAACTCTTATAGAATTAAATCTAGACAAGAGGTGAGATAGTAGCATACGAGTGAATGCGTTAGCAAGGAAAGAAACGGTGTGGTACTCACTTTTTTCGACAATGCTTGCCACCAATATCAGTGCCTTTGGAAACTCCAAGCTGTACACTGTAGAGATGGGGTCGTTGGACTTTTGACATTGAACCTTCCTTTGTCTCATAAACATACAATGTTGGCACTGGGCATTGGAGTTTCTGGGATTTCTTGGGTTGACGTGAAATGGATAGCAGTAGCTTATTTTGCTGGAGCTCCCGTATGAGCCGTTCGAAGCAACTTGCATCCATGAATGATGGCTGCACGATGTCGGGTCCTTTAACGCTCAGCTTAACAAAGCCAAACACATCAACGAGAGGTTTAAGCCGCCCATCATCATTGTATTGTTTGGGTCGAATCATAAATGGCAGTCCAATTGAAAAGCCACCAATCTGCTCCAAATAATACATCTCGTGATCCATTGGCATAATCCAGCATTTTTGTTGGGATCCCTTGGGTAGTGGAGGATAGACAGTTTCGACAATGGCGTTACAGCCCACGGCTCTGTGGATGATCCCAATGATTTTGTATCGGTAACTGATAAAGACGCTACCAAAGAGACATCTATTTGTTTTGTGGCAATTTTCATTAACCACCCAAACACCGACACACCCTTGAGGCAATTGAGTTTGAAGTTGGGCCATGGTGTATTTCTCCTTGATCTCATGGCGTCCAACAAAACCATACTTGTCCACAAACACCAAAGTCTCCTTCCCGCACACTTTTACTGCACAGTGTGAACCACTCTGGTGTCCAACCCGGATGGCATCGAGGTTCTCCATACCATCAGGCCAAAGGACAGGGTTCTTGTGAGTTTTTTCATGGCAGGAAGTCCAACTGTGGTGTATGTTTCTAGATGGCTTTGCTGAAAGAGAAATCATGGTGGTTGTTGTAGATGAAAGAGCACGATAATAATACTGGAATTTGTGGGGTTTTGGGCTCGAGCTGGGATTGGCAATGACAGACAGCGCCAGCCTTGTTCTTTTTAAAAAAGGACTGGCAGCCTGGAGCCCTTTATCTTTTTTAAGGACTGGCAGCCTCGAGCCCTTTATTTTTTTTTAAGGACTGGCAGCCTCGAGCCCTTTATCTTTTTAAAAAATGCTTCAAAATGGCGCGGAATCACTAAGCTGGTCTATTGTATCACTCTGGACCTCTGTGGAAACTCAAGTCGTGCTACTTTTCGTCTCCTAAATCCTTTTGATCGTCTCCTATTTAATGGATTTCGTCTCCTAAAAATAGGAGACGAAACGGATCGTCTCTTAAATCTTTTGTCTCCTCTTAAAACGTCTCCTATTTTCAACGGATCGTCTCCTATTCTCAACGGATCGTCTCCTAAGTGTACCATGTAAACTGTATGGTATCGTCTCCTAAATCTTTCGGATCGTCTCCTATTTCGAAATTTTCGTCTCCTAATTGTAATGTCTCCTACTGAATCGTCTCCTAAATATAGGAGACGATTGCTTTCGTCTCTTAAATCATTTCGATCGTCTCCTATTCCTCGGTGTATCGTCTCTTAAGTATTTTGCCACGAATGACGTTTCCACAGAGGTCCTGTGCTAGAAGCCGGTCTTTTGTACTAAAATAGCACAGCTTTGGCAACTGGTATTGTGTGTCACCATTGGTGATTTAGAGTTTTGAGAACCTAGTAGAATTACGTAAGATTCAATTGATCTTAGGAGTACCAGTACATAACAAAAACTTGTCTACTATAGTACGAGTTACTATGAGTCAGGCACTCGTAAAAGAAGTTAACTCAAATTAGAGAATTAAGAGCTGTTCTTTGAGAAAACAATTTAGTTAACTTGGCTGGACATCACCTTTAGAATTCCAACAGAGAACATAGAACATCACCATTACTCCGCTTTTTACTCATTCTTAGATCACTCGTTGTCATTGTTGTTAGCAGCGGGGGCGCGGGCCATCAGAGGGGGCTGCTGCAGCAGGGGGGGGACCATCACCACCAGCATGAGCTACAATAGGCACATTCTGAACCATGACATTGTTGACAGCTCCAACTGGGAAACCAAGATCATTGATGGCTTCAAAAGGAATGTGGCCTTCAGTGAAGAACAAAGAGGCTGCTTCCATGTTGTTGACTGCCCAGGAGTTACCAACACCATCAAAGAGACCTCCAATCAGACGCACAATCTCGGCATATGTCAAGACGTGGTCAATTTTGCGCTACAAGAAACAGAGTTGAGCATTTGAAAATAACATTGGCAACAGAAATAGTAAAGTAGTACTTACTAAAGGGAGGGGATCTGGTGGAGTCAAATTCCAGCCAGGTTGCTTGATAAAAACTTTGGTTCCATACCGATTGTTTTCAGGCTTCTGCAGCCAACGCTGGACAGTTTGCAAGATGCTAAGCAGGTGCTCTTCAGAGGACTCTTCGTCAGAGTCGAGAACACCCACAAACGCCTTGCGCTGAAAAGTGTTACGGGCATTGAGGAGGTCACCAGGGTTCTGAAGAGAAATGCGCATGCGGAAACCATTGATCAAGCCCAAATCCATGATGCCACTGTTGTCATCCGGGGTACCATTCCCAGTAACTTGCTCAAGCAATCCCTGAGCGAAAGCATCCTGACGCCTGTCACTTTGAGTGAGTCGAATGTGATAGAGATCGCCTTGATGAAATTCAAGTGCAAGATACCAGCCAGCCGGGTCTTTCACACATCTAATCTCAGTTCGTGGCTTTCTGTTTTTCAAAGGAGTGCCACGACCTTTTGCAATACACGGCTCTTAGCCTTATTCGCGACTCGATCCTAGATAGGGTTTGAGTTCGACTCATGACTGAGTCTCTCGTGAATAGTCATTTGAGACAGGGTTCTCAATGACCGCGCTAGTCATACTAGGTTGATGATGAAACATCGCTCTAGATATTTAGCCAGCGTGGAGTACTTCCACGCTACTAGATCCAGGCTAGACAAACCTTCCACGCGTTCTGTTTTAGGATCGTGGAGAGACGTAGGATTACTACTACAACCTACTCTATCACACTTCATAGTCTCCCGCGGGAAGCCAGATCTACGATCCCTTGATGATGATCTCTCTCGTTGATTAGTTTTCATAGCTTTCTAATCTCTCTCATAACTTTCATTCTCTCAAACTCAAAACACTCGAAAGATCTTTACACTAGCTTTTAGCGTAGTGCACCACAACAACAAAACTGCCACTGTTCAAATCACCGCGAATTGGTTGCCATTCTCGTCAAAGAAGATAGAACGGTCAATGGCCCCGCCTGCCATCAGCTCACTGATCACTTCGTAGGCTATGGTTTCAGTCATTTGCTCCACATCGTCGTCGCTCGTTTCGTTGCCAGCTTGCTCTCCCTCTTCGTCCGTGTCTGGCGTGAAAGTCTCATCTCCAAAGTCCCCCCACTGCGTGTCCCCTTCCTCATCTTCCTCGTTGTCCAGCCTGGAGTCCAGGACTGGGCAGTAATCTTTGTCGTCGTCCTCACACGTGCTCTCGCGTTCCCTAAGGATATCCTTCAGCTCTCGTCTCGTCAACCTCACACGGGCCAGGCCCTGCCACATGGCTTCCCACTGTACACCTAGGTTCTTCCTCCGCCACATGTACTCGAACAGATAGTCCTGCAAGTCTGCTCCTTCCCTGCACTGAACTGGGATTGCTTTCTTGAGAGGAGTCCAGTTGCCCTCCACCGTCTGGGTGTGTGTTCCGTCCTCCGCGACGAACTCATACTTATGGCACAGGGTCTTGTGGGTATACCCAATTCGTTCCAGACCAATGTATCCTTTCCACATGTCAGTGTGAATGGTTGAACCGGGATGTACAAACATCTTGATAGCGTGTTCAAGGGTTTTCTTGTCACGAGAGTCAACCACAATCAGCACCATTCTTCTTTCAGCTGTTCTCTCCACCATTCCGAGGACCCAGCTTCCTTTTACTCTCCTCCCGCGATTGTACTTTCTTCGGGCCATCTTCGATTCGTCGATCTCCACAATGATGTTGTGTCCTCCAATCATATTGTTCACATGTGGTTGCGTCACAATCATCTCCGTAACAAGCTGTCTGCAGTACTTCAACCATCGTCCAGCGGTTTCCGAATTCCAGCCAAGTTGTTGGCAAACCTGTGTGTTCGTTGCTTTGTTCAACCAAAGATAGATCAGGTGAACCACCTCGTTCTTTGGCAGATGGCATTTCTCCAGCACGCTGTTCCGAAAGAACGACCGAACATAACACTTTCCTGGGCTCCACTCCCAACCACAGTCTTCAGCAGCACATTTCACTCCCTGGTCACCGAAAGCAGTTGTCGTTGGTTGAAGTTCCCTGCATGGACACAATTCACATTGCTTTGGGGCGGTGTACATGCAACACGTTTTCTGGCACCTTATCTGATGCCTGTTCCAGTCAGGGGCAACGGGGCAGCTGCATCGTTCGCAGTTCGTCGGAATGTTGATCACCCCCTTCTTCCGAAGGAACTCAATGGATTTGTTCTCATCGTACAGGATGTCTTTGAGCTCGAAGAGTGTTGGTAGACCCTTTATCTCCTCGTCCAAGTCGCGAATTTTCTTCTGTCTGCTCTTGAATCGATCGGAGTGTTTGTACCGTTTTCTTGTTGGACGCTTGGGTTCACCGTTCGTGCTTGCCGACTCACTTCTCTGTGGTCTCAATTGTCTTAACAGGCTCCTCGCGAATGATCTAGCCGACCTCAACATTGCCTGGTGGCCTCGTGGCATCGTGGCTGAAATCCAGGGAAAAAGGCAACAAGAAACAAAAAAGAAGAGAACAAAATACAGACGGCGTGGATGAATGCAGACAAAACTTGTGAGCTCCAGAACTTGCCGGAACGCAAGAAATGCTTCAAAAAGAAACCACAACAGCCATGCCGCCACAAATAACAACTACTAATCTTTGTGACAAACAAACAAACACAACAGCCATGCCGCCGCGTAGAAGATCCATTTTCGGAAGGGAAGATGTTGGCTCGAAATTCCAATCCGCGGCAAATGACTCCCATGCTCAACACCTGCGCCCATTGCCGCCAAACTCACACCGATGTACATAGGTGCTCTTTGTAAACAAATAGAGAACCATCTCTTCTATGTATTTGCTGTTGTACGTTTTCAATTAGGATGGACATGCCAGTGTAGGTACGAAACGCTTGGATAGACAATGCCGAGGGACCGCCGATAGAAAGCGAAAGCTGGCCTAAGCATTGCTCCTCCTTTAGCTTTATAGATATTATTCATATATAGCAACAAGTTTCTAGAAGGTTCAGTTCCAATACCCAAGTAGTGGACTGGATCTCGCTGAAACCCTTCCTCAGGGACAGCGGTAGTCAGGCAGTTCAGGTGGCCTTGTCGTGCCTCAGGAGTGAGGAGTGTTCCAACACCTCCAGTAGGCACCAAACCAAGGACTTGGTCCTGTCAGTCAGACAGGAGGGCCAGCAGAGCTCTCTGCTGGGCCCTTTGGGCCAGCTCTCCTCAGGAGCTGGGGGCCTTCGTTATTCAATCTTGCAGTGGCAGTCTGGGAACAGTACTATCTGCTACCTCTACTGCTTCTGCCCGGCCTAAACAGGATTGGTATCAACTGCTGCGGAATCAAAGGGGCTACAAGCTAATCAGGATCGTCCTCAAGTCTTTCGTCATATTTTCTTAACTATGGTAGAAATGCCGATCCTTTCTTGCTGCTTTGCTTGAGATAAGCCAGCTGCGGGTGGTGGAGCTGTAGGCCAGCCAAGCTGTGGAGCTATCTTCTTGACAGGGATTCCAGAGCTCGCGCTCACAAGTTATCGCTCCACACGAGTGCGTATTGATCCGCTCTCATGGGAAAGCCACGATATACGATTAGTACTAACTAATACACATACATCACCCCCTATGAAATGGAACCATTCATCGGGGCCACTCAGCATGGACTGCTAGTGGAACACAAAGTGAGATTGGAGATCTCACAAGTGAAGGGACTTGCATGGTTGGTCGGGTGCTGGACCAAAGGTAACCACGATGCCTGCC